TTTTTTCTTGGCATTCCCACTAAGATCCTTGAAGGTCTCACTAAGTTCCTCAGAGGTTTCTAAAAGATTCTTGAGTAACCTTATAACTGTGATTTTGAACTCTATATCCAGTAGTTTGCTTTCTTCATTTCTTTCACTTGTAACACATTTCTGTGTCTCCGCATTTTGGCTGCTTCCCTGTGTTTACCTCCAAGCCAATTGGCTATGAGGACCAGCTGTGTCTACAGTGGAAGAGCTGCTATGCAGGAGATACCCTTATGGGGCAGGACTTGCTTCAGTGGGCTTTGGTGCTCACTGAGTCTGCACCTTGAGTGTGTCACTTATGGATGTGAAGAGTTGTAATCTGGTATGGTCTCACGCTGACCACTGGTTACACTGGTTCTTGGATCTCCAAGGAGGTGCAAAGTCAGCCACTGCCTGAGGCCACCCCGCAGGAGCTACAGAGAGATCTGCAGATTCCTTCTCTTTGTATGGGGTTTGGAAGTGCCCAGCCAAGGCCCAGCTGTGAAGCAAGGGTGCTGCTGCTGCCACGTAGTGGGCCTTCTTTTGGAATCTCTGGGGCTCTCTGACCCAGCTGCAGTTTGTTTTAGGCGAAAGGACAGGCCATTCATATGCAAAAGCCAATGCACACAGCTTGGGTGGGGTATCAAATGTCTCTGATTGTCTCACAAATACCTTTTCATCAAGATCCAAACAAGTGCAAATTGGGTGGGGCGGGGTCTCTGGGAATCACCAGGCTGGAGCAAACAGCAATGGCTTCCCTGAACCAGAGAAGTCCCTGGTTCTCCGGGTCCCGTGCACCTGTGCAGGAACAATGATTGCTGTGAGCACCTCTAAGAGTAAGCCGCCCTCACGTTCCTGTCCCAATGCCAGACAGTCCAGTTTCTCCCCGTATGTGTCTGGGTCCCCCAGAATCTCACCCGGAACTGGAGTTCAGAGCAAGCGGGAGGTGGGATCTCCTTCCCGGTTTAAAGAACAGCACATCCAGGTGCCAGCACTTTCCGCGCCTCCGCATCTCTTACCGGTCTCAGTGCGCTTTCTTCACCTCTCTAGTTGTGGAACTTCCACTCAGCCAGCTTCCCTGTGGCTCTGGGTGGTAGTTCTGCCGTTTAGTTGTAATTTTGATGTGGTGGTGAGAGGCAGCAGGTATAGGTGATTACCTAAGCCACCATCTTGGTCTACTTAATTATGTTAATTAAGAAAGATATTTAGGTGAAATGATAAAACAGAGTCCTGTTCAGATTCCTTTGCTCACTAGAATTCTGTAGTGTTTTTGCATTGGGTGTCTTTAAACATTTTGTGGTGTAAGTGTAAAGGGGTACAAAATAAAGAACGAATCGTATGCATCTGACCCAGATTCAGTGATTATCAGCCTATGGGCAGTGCCCATCTTCAATGGATTGTTTTAAATTCCAATATTACATCATTTTATCTGCAAATAGTTTAGTAAGTATCTACACATTAAATTGTACTTTTCTAAAACAACCACAGTACCATGATCAAGTCTTAAAAATTAATGGTAACTTATTTCATGAAGAATCAAAGCATTCAAATTTCTCTGATTGTCTCACAAATACCTTTTCATTAAGATCCAAACAAGTCCAAATATTGGTTTGATTTGTATGTCTCTTCATCTAAATGCCACCCTTCCTTTCATTACCATTTTTTAATTGAAGAAATAAGTTATTCATACTGTGGTGTTTCCCGCTTTCCAGACTTTGGTCATTATGTTCTGTGGAGTCATTTAGCACCATCCTGGATGCTCTGAATTTCTGTTAATTATGTTGAGAGCCCTGGTCAGCTTCAAGTGTGAGTGTGTGCATGCGTGAGTGTGCTTGGCACACCCAGTGGGTGGTGCTTGCACTTCCATGTGTTACATCCGGAGCCACATAAGGTCCACTTCTTCCTGTCTCTGCAATATGAGAATTTGTCAGTGCTTCAATCACGGTGCCTCCAGCTCATCCATTCTGCTCTTCCCCAACAGCCTCTCACCTCGTGGGTTTAGTACCAGTGGTAATATTGCTCATTAGCAGTTGCAGAACAGTGGTATTCTGTCATTCCTTCTCCTCAATTAGCTAGAATTAGTAAGTACCCCTGAGCTATTTTGTTAATCTAAAATAGAGTCCG